TATGCAGTACGCAGAGCGACCAGGATGTGAAAACAAGCCCAACCATGAGGTAACACTGATTACTCGGCCTACAAATAAAAATAAACAAATGAATACAGCTGCAAGCAGCATCAACGGAACCCAAGCTTTCGGGAACTTGTTCATGAATGAAGAGATAACGTGAATGCCTTTAGGGTAGCCTTGGTGATAAGCGTCATAATGTCGAAAGGCAGTTGGTGTCACGTATTTACATTATTCGGTATTGTTTTCCAAATATATAATGAGACATGTGAATATGCATAGGAAAATGGGTGAGGCCACATTGTTATTTATGGTCACCTCTTACGTTAGTTACGTCTCATGTTTGATGTCTCATAGTGGCATTGGCTGCATGTCCCAGTCTGCAACATTGTTTCCAATGACAGTTATGTACATTACAGCTTCACATGACCTTTATTCAGTGTCTTCAAAATAGCACAAATTCCATCTCAGACAATTGTCCAAATATTTGTTTGGAATTTATTTTCATTACCAGAAAAAGTTGTTTATTATATCATTTTCATGGGCCTACGTTTGACCAAAACACACAAATACAGAATTCCCCCAATATTAATTTTAATTTTCACATTATCACAATCTGATATATATTTATCCAGTTTCACCCACAATAACACTTCCTGTGACGACACAACGCCGCCATCTTGTAAGTAGTTCCGATCAAACTCCCGGCACACTTTCCGCGATATGCGTCGGATCGGTATTTTCCGAACTTGAAGCTTTCGGCCAGTATAGTCCAATGTGTCGCATTTGGTAATTATATATGAATGAGCTTAGTAAAAAGGGCAAATTTATTTTTCAGTACGTTTTTAACAATAACATTGCCTACTGATGCCCTTTTTTCCCATTTTTTTATGGCTGTCCATAGTAACATTCAAGCAGGCCATGTGTTAATATTTTCTCACAGTTTCATTCCTCTCACCTTTTGATTTACGTATTAAAGGCAGAAAGGCTTTTGTTGTGCGTACCACTCCCCACAATGTTACATCTGCTATCTCTTTGTAAGTCTCCATTGTACACCACTCCACGTGGCCATAGGTAGTCAAGCCAGCATTATTCACCAGGGCCCATAAACCTGAATATTTAACAAAGTCGGCAATATGAATAAGTATACAAATATCAATCAACATAGTGCATCACATGGTACAATATAATTGTTCTACTTCCTGTTCCTGTAGGTCACACATCCTTTTTTTCTTATAAGCATGATGCAATTTCAATTCTTTTTATTTAATTATATTATCAAATTTAAACCAACAGTAAGTGTTTTGGTGTAAGTAAAAGGTGAACAAAATGTTGATGAGCAAATTCACCAAAAATGACAAATTTTGGATAGCAACATCAGTTGATTTTCTTGGGAAATGGTGGTTGATTAAAATGAATATATAGGCTTTTTACACAGAATAGATGTATGAATGCAAACACGTTTTCAATAACTGCAAGTACGGCTTTAAACAGAATATTTTAATTTTATTTTATTTTTGTGTTGCTAGGTGGATAATAATAGCAGACTTGTACATACCAGTAAATTGTACTAGGGGGGGTAATTTTATCACTGATTAGCATAACGTTGGTAAGCTGTAAGAGGTCAGAGAAATGAGACCGTTTTTCAAAATTCACTGAATAATTTTAAAGAAATTAGTAAAAAATACATTTTGATATTAAGCATAACAATTGGTTCCCCTTTTTGCTTTTGATTGTCGTCGCGCAGCGCGTATTTGAATTTCATCTAAACAATGTATTTTGTACGCGTTCTATACGTTCCATATCGAACAGAACGCGGCGCGACAACCAACGATGCTTTAACTCTGACCAATCACAAATTTTGATTGTTCAAATTTACGAAATACTACATAGGGCTGAACTATTCACTGAGTATTTATTATTTGTGCTTATTTCTCGGAAAGCTAAATCCGCTAAATTTAATCAGTGAATATTCAAATTAAACATTAGAATTTTTGTTTCCTCCACAGTGAATTTAAAACCTAGTGAATATCCCTGCAAAGTCATCACTTAAACTCAGTGAATATTTTCTTTTCTTGTTGCTTGCCTTAACTGGACCTTATCAAATATGTGAAAACTGGTTTTTATCAATATGTAAACATCTGTTGTCATGTGATCCTCCTCTACACAAGCCTTGCCATCGAATTCCAAATTGACAACCGCAATATCCAATGGAAGGCGTGATTACAATCTCACCTCGCTCCCCGGTCTGTTCCTCAACGCATTTCACGGCCATCTTCACTTGTTCATCATCCGCAACGTCCAACTGTAACACATGCAATCTACCAGAACCCATTGTTTCTAATTCCATAGCGCCATCACCTCGACCGTCTTTGAAAAGACAGCCTGCAAATACTTCAAACCCGAGCGAGTAGAAATGTTTAGCCATGGAGAGCCCAAACCCCCGATCACACCCGGTAACTAGGACGGCTTTGTTCCGAGGATCGACTCGCTTCTCTGGTCTAGAGAAAAGTAACATGGCCCCGCCGATAATGATCACTGGCAAGTATATTAAGCAGCAATCGTCTCTGGTGAGCAGAGCTACGAACGAGAAAGCAATCAGGAGAAAACCCGCGAACAACATCGACGCCATTTTCGATAGCAGCGAGAGTGAGACGTGAAATGAAGGATGCACAACTTAATCCGTTGATTTTATGTGGTTAACCATTCGAAATCTTTGGAAATGTGTGACTAGTACAATGTTTTGTTCGTGGTATTACCTGTACATTATTACCTGTACATTATTACCTGTACATTATTACCTGTTAGAGTGAATTAAAATGTACAATATCGAGTTGTATCCTTGACTGCGACAGTGGTTTACTGCTATTATATCTATTTCCTTTCAAATGTAAACAAAACGCA